CTCGTAAGAATCGGCGTACGCTGCGAATCGCAATCGAAAGTAATATAGAACTTTTTTCGACGGAAATCGGCTTTGCTTCGACGTTTAATTAGCTATTCTTTAAATACTTTTATTATTATTCGCTAACTTTTAAAGTTATCGTTAATATACTTAAATAGTTTTTAATTATTAATACGAAAGTTATACTTGATATAAGTATAAAGGTTAACGTTATTATTTATAACGCCGCGATTAAATTCGAAGTCTTTATAATTTACGATTAAAAGATAAGCTTTCGAATAATTACCGATTTATTATCGCGCTTTATCGGATACGCCGATAATATATTTGTTAATATTAAAAGTGCTACGATTCGTATACGATTTTACGTTATAGATTCGCCGAGGTTTCGATTTATATTCGATTATTTTTTTATACGCAAAGCGAAAATCGATTTCCGATACTTTTCGGATTATAAAAGTAGCTTTATTATTGCAATAGTTATTAATCTATTTACGAGTTAAATTACTTAAGCTAAAGTAAGCGATAAAACGAATTAATACGACGAAGCCGTCGATCGCTTAAAAAAGCAAAGTATAAGCTTTATTTATTACGATAAGTCTTCGAGTAGTAATAATAGCGACTCGGAAAACTAATAACTGGCTTCGTTAAAAGCGCTAAAGTTAATATATTAAAAGCTTTTTACTTTTCGCTTAGTTTCGAAAGCGAAACGTTGCAATATCGAAAAAAAGACGACTTTATTATTTAAAAGCAGTTTATCGACGTTTTTGCTTTTATAAAATGCGATCTTTTAATAATTAATTAAATAAATACCGTTAGCACCGATAATTTTATAACCCGCTGTTATAATTATATCGATTATTAGAATTCGATACTTTATCGAACTCGAAAAAAGATCTTTTCGAACTCGATTAAAGTATTCGATATATATAAGACTAAAGATAAAAAGATTAAGCTAATTAACGAAGCAAACGGCGTAAGAGCAGCACTAAATAGCAAAGTTGATTAATATAAGCTATCGAAGGCTAAAGATACGCTATAAGAATAAATAAAAAAATATAAGCAATACTTTTTTCCGCGTATTACCGATATATTAAAAGGCTTTCGAATTATACTCGAACGTATAGCGAACTTAAATATCGGCAATATATTACGGCTTAAAAAAAAGGATTTATTTAAAAAGATAATGCTAAATAAAGAAAAATCAATTGCATTCGCTTAGCAAGAGTGCGATAAGTTTTACGACGACGTTTTATTATCGATTAAGCTTAAAACTATTTTATATACGGCTTAATAAGCTTTTAATTATTCGTGTTCGAAAGCTTTATAGCTTATTATTATTAAAATGCTTTAAGACAAGCTTAATAAAAGAGTTTTAAAGTATTGCAAAGGATCGTACCGGAATCAATAGTTTTTAATAATTAAAAAGCAGCCGAGCTAATATAAACTTATTAACTTAATAACTTTATTGAATGCAATTATACGAAAGGACGTTAATCTACCTTTAATTATAAATAAGTTTGCTAAAGAGTTTTTTAATTGCTAGATAGCTAGCTTAATCGATCTTTATTCGAGTTATAATTAACAAATACTTTATTAATCGAATAAAGACTTTACCGCTTTTTTTATAGCCTTAAATCTTTTTTGATGTATTACTTTTTCGCAAAATGCTACGAACTCGATAGCTTAATTCGTTCGAATAATTAATTTTATTTTAAAGCCTTTATAACTTAAGGTTTTTATATTATTTATCGACGATATTAAAATAAAAGGATTATAAATAGATTATTTCGACGAAAAAGCATTTTCGAAAATACGTTAATTCGTGCTCGAATATATTTAAAACATCGATAAAAATTTAAAACGAATTAAGCGCGCTAATATTATAATCGAAGAAAAATTATAATTTTATCGAGATAAGATAAATATAATAAGATTCGTATGCAATTCGAAAGATTAAGAATTTGTTGCGAATAAAGTTATTAAAATTAATAATTAAAAAACTTTCGAAAACGTTATTAAAATTAAAAGATTTTTAAGCTTTTGCTTTTACTTTCGCATTTAAGTTAAAGGATTCGTATATATTGCTAACTTTTTTTATAACTTTATAAAAAAAAATATAAATTAGCAATAGATCGAAACGCATTCGAAAGCTATGCGAATGCTATAAAATGCTTTAACGACGGCTTCGGTTTTAATTAAAATCGATTACGAAGATTAAAATAAAGAAATAATAATAAAAACGAACGTTAGCTTAAAAAAAATAAAAAAGATATATTAATTAACGCAAAACTATTTTTAGCAAAGTGCAATCGGCTCGATACGAGTTCGAAGCTTAAATAAAAGCAAAACGGAATTACAACGCTATTAAACGAAAGTGCCGCAAAGTATTTAAAGTCTTTAAAAAACTTAAATTATAAATTATTAAAGTGTATTTTATTTTCGAGACTAACGCTAAAATGCTCGTTGCTTAGCTTTAACGAAAAGCTATTGATATACTTTCGGCTTTAATTATACGCTAGCTAGTTTAAATTAATTTTTTCGATTTTAAAGTTCGATATATTTTTAATAAAGATTAGATCGCTGCCGATGCATTATCGAAATGATTACGGCATTTCGATAATTTAAGCGACGAAAACGAAAATAAGTTCGATAATAGCTTATTAACCGACTTAAAACTTATTAAAGCTCGAAACGGCTTCGAAGAATTTTCGACGGACTTTTTAATAGATATTCGTTAATTTATTTTTAAAGATATGTTTTAACGCTCGAAAAAAGCGAAAAATGTAAACTTAAACGAATTTAACGACGATTACGATTACGAAAGTCTTTTAAACTTAATCGAATACTTTTCGAAATCAATTCGAATAGTTATTTTTTTAATAACTTTGCGAAGACTTAAAAACTTAAATAAAATAAAATGCTATAAGTTTAAAAAAGAGGCTATTAAATACGAAATGAACGATAAGAAACTTTAAAAACTTTTAACGAAAAGTCTTTCTTTTCGATTAATAATCGATAAGCTTTCGATTAAAACGAATATTATTACGGCTTATTACGATAAAAGCGATTATAAAAGCCGTAAATCAATTTATTATCTTATTTTTTAGCGCTATTTTTAAAATAGATATTATACGAACGTTAAACGATTCGTTAAGACTTATAAAAAATGCTAGCATCGAGCAGCTAATAAGCTCGAAAAGCTATTGCACTTTACTTAATTTAATAGCTTAATAAAACGTTAAGCTATCGATATTATTTATTTATTTGCACGCAATAGCAAAAGCTATTTAATTGTTATTAAAGATAATATAAATAGATAAGTTAAAGCGAAAGCGATTCGGATTCGAAATTCGTTTTCGATAATTAAGTTTATTTAAAAAGATATTATTTGCTGCTATAAGATTTTTTTTTAATTAATAATCGACGGAGGTTCGAAGTTTAAAAAAAAGGTAATTGATTTATTTAATAATTAAAAAATCAATCGAGTCGTAATTTTAATATACTATTTTTAAGCGAATAAAATAATAAAACGCGGTTACGGATTAATTAAAAACGCATTAAGTAAGCTTAAAAGCATCGATTAGATTGCGCAATTGCTAGCCGTTTTATTCGCCGACCGCACTTTAATATATACTTTTATCGGATTTACTTTTTTTTATATAATATATAGCAAAAAAGCAATGCTTTCGATTAAAACTTAAATCTAATTTTAAGCTACGTTATTTTAAAAGCTAATAATTAATCGTATTAAGCTTATCGAGTTAAAAGCACGCTAGTTTCGGATACGAAACGAAGATGCTACGAAAGCTATATTTAAAAAAACCCGCTATCGTTAAAAAGAAAAAAATGCTTTTAATAATAAAAAAAACTTTCGAATTAAACTTTTAAAAATAAATGACTTGGTTTTTAAGCACGACTTGATACGTAAAGTAGATATATTTAACGTTAAAAAGCTAGATTTTCGATAGCTTAGCTTTTATTAAATTGCGTTAATAAATATAAAAAAATATTATAAATTAAAAAAGCTAAAAGAAGACGAGGCTTTGCTAGATAAAACATTTGCCGGCAATCGATTAAAAAAGTTTTACGTGCGATATACTTTTAAAGCGTTATTACTTCGCTTTAAGCTTTAAATAAAAAGATCTTTAAAACAACTTTTATTAAATAAAGTGGCCGAGTCCGGCCTTTAAATTAAGCGCTTAAATGGATTTGTTATTCGATTACTTAGCTTTACGAAAAAGCAACGGAGCTAATACGCAAGAATCTTTATAAGCAGTAATAAAAAGGCAATAAAAAGTAATTAAGTTATGAAGGCATAATTATACGTAAAGAGGGGATGAGTTTGGATTTTATTTTTTTTTATTTTTTTTTTATTTGAGTTTGGTTTTCTTTGTTTTTTTTCTTTTTATATTCTTTTTATTTCTTTTTTTATATTAAAGAGCTTTACGTTATTATACTTATATGCTCCCGATCTATTATATACGAGCATATTATATATATAAAGCGGACCTTATTTGGAAGCTGATTAAAAAAAGCATACGAAAAATTTATTATATTAATTATTTAGTAAGCTGCTGATACGCGATAAAAACTTTTTCGATCTTATAATTTAAAGTTAAATAAAATAATGCGAAAGCTTTTCGCAATACCTTAAGC